GGGGGAGGGTGCTGTGAAAAGGCTGCCGGGGCTGTTGGCTTGGAGGGGGAGGGAGGGTTTGGGCGGTGTGGGGGAGAGGCGACCCAGGGCTGCTTGGGCTGAGAGTATCTGCCTCCTCATCCCTCCCTGCGCACTGCCTCTTGCTTTGTTCTGCTTCCCTGTGGGCACCACCTAACTCCTGCCTGGCACTCTCTCCTCAGGCTATAAAATCCCTGTCATTGAGAACTTGGGTGCCACGTTGGACCAGTTTGATGCAATTGATTTCTCTGACAATGAGATCCGCAAGCTGGATGGGTTCCCTCTGTTGAGAAGGCTGAAAACTCTCCTGATGAATAACAACAGGATTTGGTAAGTGGCTGTATTTTGGCCAGATGAGACCCTGGGCAGAGGAAAATGCTTTTGGGAGACAAGGGTCCATGTGTCTTTCAGTGCTGGGTAGGTACAGAAGTGTTTTATGGGGAAAAAAAGTGTTGCTGAGTAGTGCTTAGGATCTCATCAAGTTGCCTGACTGGGTGCAAAAGTCAGTCTTCAGTTTTCAGACAGGACAATGAGATGCAGAGTTTAGAGTTTGGCCAGAGGCTTTGGATTTCACTAGTGATCCCCACGAAGACAGGAAAATGGTGTTGCCTGCAAGAGAATGAACATAAATTTCATATTGCATCTAATTACAGAGGTAGCTGGCATTTACTGCCAGCTTCATTAGAGAAAGTATTGTGGGGTTGCTCACCCAAACTCCTGCCAGTGTCAGACCGGGTGGTTTTACAGGGAGATCCTCTCTGCTGTCCTGTTTCTGTGTGTCTTTTCACCACTGCTGATCTCTGGCCCGGGTTAAACCTTTGGTTTCTGTTCCCCTGCAGCCGGATTGGTGAAAACCTGGAGCAGGCCCTGCCCAGTCTGACAGAGCTGGTTCTTACCAACAACAACATTGCTGAATTGGTAAGCTGGTGAGCAGGGGGAACCTCAACAAGCTTCAGTTTGTTTTTTCTCATCCCTCTAATGAACCTTTTTCCTGGGTGTACTGTCATAGGCTTTTGGAATTAGTTCATAGGCTTTTTCCACAGTCCTTTCTCTAGTTAGCCCTTTTTCTTCAAAGCAATATCATATGGTTTGGGTACAAGTTAATGATGTTCAGATTGTGATGAGCATGATTTGCAGTGTGTAGTGGAACAGCACTCTCAAAGGCACAGTGGTTTTCCTGTTATACTAACTGCAGTAATTCTAACTGTTGTCTAAACTAGCTGTGACCTCAGGAACTTTGTTTTCAAACATTTGGATCTCACTAAATGGACTGACAGTTTTCTTGCTGTGTTCCCATTAATGCAGGGTGAACTGGATCCGTTGGCAACTATTAAATCCCTGACTTACCTGAGGTATGTGATCTTGATGTAAAAAAATAGCTGCTCTGTCTCTGCTGTTCAAACTCTACTGCTGTCCTGGCTTCTTCCCTGGGTCTGGAACACCCTCCTTTCTTTGAGCTGTGACAGATTCATTATGATTAAAATTTGAATCAGTAAACAGTGTGTCCAGTAGGCTTCAGAAAAACCTGGTGTTATAATTACTGACAGACTGTTGGACCAGTGAGATGTAACATCTCTAAATCAATATCCAAGCACTGGCCTAACCTTAACCATTAAAAACCTTATACTAGAGGTTGAAACTGTTGTTACAAAGTACTATAAAATACATGTATACAGTGACTCTTCAGTAACGTCACATTTGGTGCAAGGGGACACAATGAAAAAGAATTTGCCCTGTGATTTTTTTGGTTGATCAGCGTCCACATAGGAAATGTGATGATTTAGTTAATTGTTTTGTTTTTTTAATGTGGGTTTGTTTTTTTTTAAATTGTGTTTTTTTAATATGTTGAGGTTGTTCTTCATGATCTTCTTAATATATTTTCATAATATCAAATAACTCTCACTAGGCTTATTAAATGGTGCCGTTTGCTGTTTGTTACAGCAGAAGGTACATGACTGCATTTTAAGTATATTCATGTGTTTTTATATTAAATGCATTGTAAAATATTTTACTTTAAGAACCTCTTTATAACCTTTACTTACTTTGTAGCATTTTGAGGAATCCTGTAACAAATAAGAAGCATTACAGATTATATGTCATCCACAAAGTTCCCCAGGTCAGAGTGCTGGACTTTCAAAAAGTGAAACTCAAAGTAAGTTTGCTTTCTTCTGATTCAGCACAAGATAAAAGATAAATGTCTTTATTTCCTTATTTTCTCTTGATTATTCAGTCGTAACAGTGACCTTTTTGCCTGAATTGTAAATTTTACCAAAACTGTGTCATAAGTGGCTTCAAAAGATGCTGTTTTCTTCAATGATTTTGTTCTGTTTTCTTTAACGATTTAATTCTATTTTCTTCAATGGATTCATTCTGTCAAGGATTTAGTCTCTAATTCTGTTTGAGGAGGTTTTACCACCTTTGTTTGTTTAGTCTGGTTCTTTGCTGGCCCTCTGGTGTTGGTAGAAAGACAGAGCTCTAGAGGAACGAGCAGTGGCTGCAGAGCCCTCTGCTCTCTGTGGAGATGAGAGTGGGAGAGAGTTCTTCCTGTTAAGAGGTTGATACATGTTGAGTCTGAGCATCAGGGCAGTGTTGATGTACTTGGTCTTGCATCTGGTCTCCACCTACCCATGTTCAGTGATGACAATGAGCCAAAGCATCTTTCTTTGCAGTCTGCAAAGCTGCTGTCTCTGAAATGTCCTTCAATTAACTCTGTGGTATCGCTGTAGGAGCGACAGGAGGCAGAGAAAATGTTCAAGGGCAAACGGGGTGCACAGCTTGCAAAGGATATTGCCAGGAGAACAAAAACGTAAGATAAAGCAAACAAATTTATGCTGGCATCCTCCTTCAGAAACACCACTTGCTTTGTGTGCAGGGCCAGGCTCTCAACTGAGATAGATACCAGCTGTGGGCAGGACGCCTCAAAAGCTTTGGTAGCCGCAAGTGCCTTGTCCAAGCATCCCTGTTTTTGGATGGTGGTGAATACATCTCAGAAGTAATTTTGAAAGAGACACTTGGTCAGGGTGGATTGATTTAAGTCAACAAGCAGGAAACCCTAATTTTATTTTTTGCTGTTTTAACTGCAGGGAAGTGGCCTTTGTTTATTTTATCATAGAATCCCAGATTGGTTTGAGTTGGAAGAGACCTTAAAGATCATCTAATCCCAACCTCCCAGTGGACCAGGTTGCTCCAAGCTCCATCCAACCTGGCCTCAAAACACTTCCAGGGATGGGGCAGCCACAGCTTCTCTGAGCAACCTGTTTATTGTTGGGTTTTTAATGTTTTTTTATTTTTTTCCCCAGGAATATAAACTGTAAAATCTGCTGTAGTGAGGAGGAAACCCAATTTCCATGACTGTATTTATCCACCCTGCTTTTGTAATGGCAACAGGTCACCCCTGTGTTCAACAACATCCAAATCTAAGCGCTTTCATCAACGGCTTAATTGATAAAATAAAGGTGGGGGGGGGAAATGGGACAGCAAGGACAAGTTGCTGGTGTTTCTGAAGGAGGCAATTCTTCACTGTATCAGTTTGTTAACAAAGATAAGATACTACACTTGATTGAAACGCTTCCAAACCTAGTTTGGAAGTTGGAGAAGCACATACTGTTCAGGAGGTCTGATGGGTCTTTATTTCCCTTTGAAGGTTCAATCCCGGAGCAGGTCTGCCAACTGACAAGAAGAAAGCTGGGCCCTCCCCTGGGGATGTGGAGGCAATTAAGGTAAATCCATCAGGAAGGCACATGTGGAGGAGAAACTGTGGATCTGAATGAAACAGGTGTTTCCTTCCTCCTGGCACCCTGGACTCTGTTCAGAACAGTGTGTCAGATCTTGGGTTTAGCTGCTTTTTATGTAATTTTTCTGCTATTATGACACACCTATTTTTTAAGAACTGAAATGAAACCTTGGTTTGATCTTAAGAGTTCTCCCAGGATAGAGCAGCTTGTTTAATAAGGGGAGGGGTAAGATTGTGCTTTGTCATCTGTGGAATTTTTTTTGGATTAGAATGTTGTAGACCTTCCTAGAGAGGTTTTGCTTCACTTGACTGTAAAAAATCTTGGGTTTATGTTTATTTTAAACAGACTGACACACTGCATGTAAAGATTCATCATGTTCTTTTGTCTGTGTTTCAGACTGCAATAGCAAATGCCACGACTCTGGCTGAAGTGGAGAGGCTGAAGGGGTTGCTGCAGGCTGGTCAGATTCCTGGCAGAGAACGCAAATCAGGTCCATCTTGTGCTTCTCTTACTTATGATCCCCAAACAGAACCTACCCCTCTTCCTTGCTTCCCAGTTCTTTCTGTGATCTCAGTAGGGAGTTAGGCTGGAAGGGCCAAATAAGCTGAAAAATCTGTTCAAAATGAGTGGAATCCTTGAGGATTGCACCCGTAATCAGGGTATGATCTGCCTGGCTTCTGGAGCTGAGTTCAGAGCTGTTCCCTGGGCTCCCTGGACAACAAGGTGCCCAACATCAGCTCCAAGTGCTTTGCTGTGCTGGCCAACTCTGAGCAGCCTTTCCCAGTTATTTAAAAAACGAGATTAATTACAACACCTGGGCTGTGTTGCCCTGAGTGTCAGTGTCTCAGGTGGGAGCACAGGAGTCTGTCTCTGAGGTCTCTGCACGGACAGACCTTCCCTGCACACTGGACATAACAGTGTCTATGCAGACTTCATTCTTTTTCCCCCACACTGTGACTGCTCAGAGGGGTGACCATTAACGTTGACGTGGGAGTGACACCAGGCAGGCAGCCCGTGCCCTGACCCGCGCCGTGTCCTTGCAGGCCCCTCGGAGGACGCTGAGGAAGAGATGGAAGAAGACACGGTTCCCAACGGCTCCTGAGCCCCGCCCGGGCCGCGCTCCCCTGCTGCTCC